CTGCTACTCCCTGATTAATAAGCAAGTTTCCACTTTACCTTAAGGTCATTAACAGCTTGTTCTATATGTCTTATATTGCCAACTTCCTGTTTCTTTTTCAATTCTAGCTCCTTCAAGTACCTTGTCATGAATTCCTGTTCATGTAAAATAAAATACATACTTGGTCATAAACAATGGTTACAAACGTAATTATCCATTTTTCTTTCTACAGCAGAAGAATGTAGTCAGAAACTCCCCAAATCACATGTTTATACAAGGTAAATATCGATACTTGTTAACTAGATCACGTATTTGAATACTGAAGCTGCCCATCTGATATCACTTCTGCAAGACATAGGGAAACTTACTGGGAAAGCCTGTTTTTCACCCTGAAATCTCTATTCTTGCTCAGACAGAAATAATACCACCTGCATATGTGTTTAGCAGTTAAAGGATCCCAGCTGAGCATTTTCATTTGGAAAATCACCCAGAGAACTATTGCCTGGATTCAAAATCCAGTGAATGTGTGTCACACTCTTCAGTTACAATAGATGTTTTCTGCTCTAGGACACAGTATAGACCCGTGGTTCTCAAAGCCAATCCACCCCTTGTTCAGGGAAAGCCCCTGGCGTGCTGGACCGGTTTGTTTACCTGCCGTGTCCGCAGGTTCAGCCGATCGCGGCTCCCACTAGCCACAGTTCGCTGCTCCAGGCCAATGGGGGCTGCGGGAAGTGACACAGGCCAAGGGACGTGCTGGCCGCCTTCCCGCAGTCCTCATTGGCCTGGAGCGGCGAACCGCGGCCAGTGGGAGCCGTGATCGGCCAAACCTGCGGATGCGGCAGATAAACAAACCAGTCCGACACGCCGGGGCTTTCGCTGAACAAGCGGCGGACCGGCTTTGAGAACCACTGGCATAGAGGTTGTACTATAACCAAATTTTATTTGAAGATTAAGCAAATTTATTCTGGCAGATTTTCCTTTACATACCAGCCCTGTTCCTCAATACGGTTATTTATGACAGGCAGCTACGAGCATGCTGTAAATAGGATGGTCACCGCTGTTAGAAAGGATGTAGAGAAACTGGAAAGGAGCCAGAGGCAAGTGACAAAGATAATTAGAGGGATGGAATGCAAGCCATATGAGAAAAGGCTGAAGGAACTGGGTATGTTTAGTTTGGAAAAGAGGAGATTAAGGGGGGACATGATAGCAGTCTTCAAATGCTTGAAAGGCTGCCATATAAAAGATGGAGGAAAACTGTAACAGAGGAAGAGGCAATGGGTTCAAACTACAGCATAGCAGATTTAGATTAAATCTCAGGAAAAACTTCCTAACTGTCAGAACAGTAGGACAATATAACAAAGTGTCTAGGGAAGTCATGGAAGATCCTTCATGGAAGGTTTTCAAAAGGAGGCTGGTTAGCCATCTGTCTTGAATGGTTTAGACACATTTGCAGAGTAAAGTACTGCTCCCCATGAGTAAGGGTCTGAGATCTGGCCCTCAGAGATTAAGGTGGAGGTTTTCTAAGGCAGCCGGCTCCCATTGGAAGTCAATGGGCATCAGGGCCCAGACGGTTCAAGCTGTTCAGGTGTTGCTGCACTCCGTGTTGAACACCGATCTCACTTAGGAACCTAGATCTCATTTTCAAAAGGAAGTTAGGCACTTCGAAGTCTAAATTCCATCAATGACAGGATTTAGATTCCTAAATCAGTTAGGTGTTGCGATGCTGAGCATAGCTACGCCTAAATACGTTTTATAATCTGGGCCTGGGTGCCTATCTGCCCTTTTGTGGCTTGGAAAATCTCCCCATCAGCCTGTTCCCAGAATTTATAGAGACCCCATTCCACATGGATTCCTACAGGAGTCATGAGTAACTGTTTGTATGATGAGGCCCTTAAGTTTTTTGTTGTTTTTTTTACCTATTAACAGCTTAAATTGTGATTTTAAACATAAGAGCTATACCATGTCCCAAGTAACCCTTTCACACTGTTACTTTCACTCTAATAATACAGCATGATAAGGGATTCAGAAACCTTTAACAATCAAAGTTAATAGCAGTAAACATCATGCCATTGAAAACTCCCAAAAGTGTGGCCTTGAGCATTGGGAACTTCAGTGGACTCTGAAATGGACATGTTGCAGTTTTGGAGATATAGCAGAGTTTTAACTTGTGATGTGAAAATACATAGAGAAAGAAATGAGCTAGAGAGAGTGAAAAGAGGAGCAGAATTACCCTAATATACATATAAAGTTAAGGCTTACGGTGAGTGACAGTAACACAAATATGAATGTTTTGACATGCTTCAAATGCCGGGAGCAGAGGTAGGGGCTTTTGTATCTTAGTATTAAAAGGTGTCAGGAAAGAGTACTGCGGAAAGGGATCTGGGCATCATAGTGGATCACAAGCTAGATATGAGTCAACAGTCTAACACTGCTGCAAAAAAAGCAAACATCGTTATGGGATGTATTAGCAGAAGTGTTGTAAGCAAGACATGAGAAGTAATTCTTCCGCTCTACTCAGCGCTGATTAGGCCTCAACTGGAGTATTGTGTCCCGTTCTGGGCGCCACTATTCAGGAAGGACGTGGACAAATCGGAGAGAATACAGACAAGAGCGACAGAAATGATTAAAGGTTTAGAAAACATGACCTGTGAGGGAAGATTGAAAATATTGGGTTTGTTTAGTCTGGCAAAGAGAAGACTGAGGGGGCACATGATAACAGTTCTCAAGTACATAAAAGGCTGTTAGAAAGAGGAGGGAGAAATTTTTTTTTTCTTAACCTCTGAGGACAGGACAAGAAGCAATGGGCGTACATTGCAGCAAGGGAGGTTTAGGTTGGACATTAGGAAAAACTTCCTGTGAGGGAGATTAAGCACTGGAATAAATTGCCTAGGGAGGTTGTGGAATCTCCATCATTGGGGATTTTTAAGAGCAGGTTACACAAACACCTGTCAGGGATGGTCTAGATAATACTTAGTCCTGCCTTGAGTGCAGGGGACTGGACTAGATGACCTCTCGAGGTCCCTTCCAGTCCTATGATTCTATGATCCAGTGGAATCTCCGAGAGGATGACCTGCAGAATTTCCTGCCACATATGCCATTCCCCCTGCTTCAAATCCAAGCACAAGGGCGCACACATGCACACTGCAGCACTGGTCATAAGTGAGTACTCAGAACTGCCTGGAGAACATTTCTGCAATGCTCTGATTTGAGTCCTAGCATACATTTGCTTGTGAGGTTTTCACTTCTTACAGAGGCTAAATAAAATAACCGCACTGCTTCAGGAGCATTGCTAAAACACTGTCTCCAATATGAATGGCAGGAGCCCATCTTGCACAGCAACACAAAATTTTGACCAGCAATGTATTCAGTCTGCGTATTTGACTATGCTGTCAGAAGAGACAGCTTGGATGGAAATTAGGGGGTTACAGTGCCAGAACCCAGGCTGGTGTGCCAATGTCCGAGCTCACCAACTACACTTAGGGCTTGTCTACACCAAACAGCTTTTAACGACAGGGCTGTGTAGACACAGCCCTGTTGCTAAAAGTCGGCACGTGTAAATGCTCTTTGTCGTCACTTTTGCAGACAAAATACTTCCACCCCCGCAAGCAGCATTCAGTTTGTCGGCAGGAGTATACTGCCACTTGCCGTGGCAAAACTTTTGTCTTTTGCAGGGGAATTAAGCACCCATGAAAGACAAAAGTTTTGTCGACAACTTGGCAGGGTAGACAAAGCCTATGTATTGATGCCATGTCCTGGAGAGTGCCTCTTTCTCTTCTGCTGAATCCACAGCCAAAAAATGAAATCTCTATCACCAAGAAACCAGCAGATGTCAGCAGAGGCTAGATATTTAGGGCCAGAAGTTCCAAAGAGCACTCACAACCAGGAGCCAGATGTTAAAAAGAGCTCAGGCTCCCATTTCAGCATCAAAAGTAAGCAGCCGGATTGATTCTAGTCCAAAGGATTGATTCTCCACTGCCAAGCTCTTTGCAAGAGTCATTTACATCGGTGCAAAGTACACGTCAAACTCTAGCATCTCAGAATAGCTAGTAGCATTTGACCCCACTTTGCACTCCTTTTACTTAGGTGTAAATGACTACACAAAGCGCAAAGCAGTGGCGAAACAGGACCATAGTGTTTTAACTTGAGAATGCTGGGGTTCATATTTTGAAACCCTCTAAATACGATAACTATTCTTTCCTCCCCCATTTTCACTTGCTCAGATCTTTCTGAAAAATTCTGTTTTGAATCTGAAACTTTCCAACCCAAGAGTAACTTTTCTGGAAAGTGTAAGGAAAACTGCTTCAGTGACTGGGGGACGGAGGGCTTTTTCGGCTTAAAGGGTATCTGAGGCATGAAGGAGACCCACTTAACATGCTCTTTACAGTCACAGAATCAGAATTATTAAACAACCTCCTTAAGAAAGGGATGGACGGTGCTTCCCAAATGCAGCCTGCCGGCACATCACCACATGGAACCTTCTCCGTCATTACAAAGCAGGCTTCCTGGGTCGGGGCTCCTGGGGGTGGCCCTGGGTTGCTCTCCCCCCAGGGAGCCCTACAACCTCACAACACCCGGGCCCCTGTCCTCCACCCACAGTAACTCAGAGCGGGGGCAATGCAGGGGGATGGGCCCCTCTACACAGCTGGGTACCAGGCAGGGCTGTGCCGGGTGAGCCAGGGCCAGGCACTACGCCCAGTGCAAACAGGATGAAGCACCAGGCAGGGGCCCGTGCCCAGGCCAGAGAGGGGCAGACGCCAGGCAGGAGCCCGGTCCATAGAGGGTCCCGGCCCGGTCCATACACGCCCCCCCCCGTTACCTTGGTGCCCTGCGCGGCCTGCCCCAGCAGGCTGACGCGGTGGCCGCGGTGGGCGCCCAGCACCGGGCACAGGGCGCACACGCAGAGCGCGCAGTCGGCGCAGAACAGCTCCAGGGGCCGCTCCCGGTGCTCGGGGCACCAGCGGCCCCGCTCCCGCAGCGCCCACAGCTCGGCCGCCGCCTCCCCGGCCGGGCCCAGCCGGTGCCCGCGGAAGGCGGGCGCCCCGCCGGGCTCCCCGAGGTGCGGCCGCACGTGGGCCCCGCAGTAGGAGGCCAGGCAGGTGAGGCAGCTCCACTCCGCCGCGCCGCGCTGCCCCGCCGGGCACAGCTCGCACCGGGGGCCCGGCTCCCCCAGGGCTGAGGCGCCGCGCTGGGACTCGGGCTGCGCCATGGCCGGGCTGCGCCTCCTTCCCGCCGGGCCCGGGAACCAAAACTCGCCGGCCGGAGGGGGCGGGCCCGGGCCCGGGGGGGCGGCCCCGCCTCAGTCCGCGGAGCGCGCTGGGCCTCGCCCCCGGGTCCCCGCCGGCCCCGGAGCAGGTCTGTGGCGGGAGAGGCCGCTATTCGCGGGCCCAGCCCCGCCGCAGCGCTGGGGGGCCAACCCAGCCCCCCGGGCTCCGGCCTCCGGGCGCCCACGCTAAAAGCCGGGTCCCAGATCAGAGTGAAAGCCTTTCTCTGGGCCCTGCGTGGACAAGCCCTTGGAGAGGAAACAGGGCCCCAGCCCCTGCTATTGGAGCGAGCTGGCGGTGGTGGGGGACCCTTGCAAGGGGCTGAAGGCCGCCCTGCGCCCCTCCTTATCAAATCTGCCCAGCGCCTGCCACAAAACAGCGTCCCTAACAGCCTGGGCCCCCCCTTGGGCCTGCTCTGAACAGACCGTTTTGCTGGCATTGCCATAGTTGTTAGGGCTACGCCCCCCCTGGAAACACGGTTATACTGGTAACAGAATCGTTTCCGAGATAGACCTCGTTCCACTGGGGGAACTGGTATAAATGATACCATCCAATCGGTTGCAGGTATAAACTGCGTCTCCACTACAGGGAGTTGCCAGATAGCGACACTGGCAAACCCCTTCTAGGGTAGAGACTCTCCACAAAAAGAATAACCTGAGTTATCCTAATTAATGCTAATGGATTTTTGCAAGAGATACTATGTTCATGCTTCAGGGGTTAAGCCCATATATAACCCCCCAGATATCAGGATGAGCCCTACAGGGGGCTCATGGAGGGGTTCTTACATGTTTCTTTGAAGTGTCCAGTGCTGGCCCCTGCAAGAGACAGGATACTGGACTAGGTGACCATGAGCCTGAACCAGTTTGGCAATTCCTACATTCCTAGTCTGAATGTTACTGTTCCAGGTATAATATAGGCCCCTATCAGATACATCTGTATTGTATTCAAACATCCTCACAGACATTCCTGCTCATAGTCTCTAAATCCAGCTATCCTTCCATCCCAACATAGGATTTATATTAATGGAATTTCCAAACATCCTTTTAGTCATCTCTGTGCTTCCTCAGTATGGGAAGATGTGCACAAGTATCCACAAATGACCTGATTTACATTGACACTAAGGGACTTCTGTGCCACTCTAGGAGCATAAATGGGCCTGGCTGTAAATAAGGCCCCTTTGCACTAGCCAAGCAATAGTAAAGGGGCCTAAGTTTCAATAAGAATCAGGACCAATAAGTCTTTAAGAGGACTTGCACACATGGAAAAAGTCAGTAAGATAACAGGAAACCACACAGTCACGAGACTACACCCACAAATGTCTGTTAAGTAACAAATACAGACAGACATGCAAAGAGTTTATGTAGAACCCAGAATGTAGAAAAACTAACAAAGAGATCTAATAGATCCAAATCTACCTACTAATCCTAAATCTACTTCCTAATAGAGAATTGACAAAGAATAATAGGGAAGTCTGATACCATTCACCCCAAGCTACATGAATTCATCAAAATCAGAAGCAGGCTCACAGAATGAAGCAAATGCAATTATTGTGTAGTACTAGAAAGGAGTATTAAAATTAATGAGTGTGAAAGAGGTGGGAGAATCCTAAAACACCTGATCACTAAGGAAAAGCAGAATTCAGTTCCTCCAAAGGAGCAAGGGGAAGGAACAAGTAGTGGCCAAAATGGCTTCACGAGGGACTTACACAGACACCTGAAGATTGAACCAAAATCTTATGCTGAAAATAGAAAATTGGGCCCTGGTTCAGAAAACACACATCCATTACTCACATGAGTAAAGTTATGCATGTTCACAAGTGTTTAAAGGACTGGGGCCTTAGACACCAAATTGGTATATGGTATAGGTAGTCAGTGCCTGCAGGAAGATGAGGACACACAGAAGAGCAGAAAGAATACCATAAACTAATGAGAATATGGAGTGAAAGTGGTCAGAAGCTACTTGGCTAATCAGAGATTAGTAAAGCACATCCTTTTCTATGAAGTGCATATGGCTAGTTAGCACAGCTGCTGAACCTCAGAGTATGAGGTTCTAAAGTATCTAGTCACTTATTCGATATGAAATTGTTTGAGAAGAATAAGGTAGCCTTGGAGTTTCTGATGTTTTCAGGGTCTTCTCAGGCAGTTTGACAGCCTGAATTCTGTATTTCCTCTTTTAAATAGTGATGGGCTTGGGGACATTAACGTTAACCTAGACTTCCTGCCTTATTTAAGGGTTTAGGGGGCAGGGAGGGATGTTTATAATAAAACTACAGAGTTCTTGTAAGTTTCTTGTCACCTGGATTCTGAACGTCCTAGTTTTAGATACTGTTTTTGTATAATTCCTGTATTGTTGTTGGGTCTTTAATGCTTCAAGTCACAGATACGTACTTTCAACCTTAACAAAATCCTCTGGCTGGTAACGTCATGCATCTGTCTTATCATCTCAGATATGGTTGCAATGTGTATTGGGAAGCTTCTGATCAGTGACGTTTCACCCCTGTGCAAAGGGCCAGCAAAGCCTTCAAAATAGGGTGTAAATGCCCCATAGCCAGCCTCATGGTGACTCGGCACTGTGGTGAATTTCACCCAGAGGGAACGATTAGGGGAGAGGGCAAGGTCAAAGCAGCAGAGCAGTCCATGCTGAGGAGTAAGGCGAATGGGAACTGTCCTTGCTTCTCGTCATCTGGGTACCTTTACATCTGCCTGGCCATCAGGCTGTGAAGGGAATGTAGCATGGTACGGTGGGAATGGGGCTAAGAAGCCACTGCCAGCTCTTTGCTAGTGCTAATCCCAGCTCTGAGAGCGACTTCTTGTGTGGCCTAGGGCAAGTCCCATTACCTCTCTGTATTTCGGTATGCTTGTTCTGAAAATGGGGATGATACTCAACGGCCAAGTGAGGAAGTTGGTGAAAGTGCTTTGCAAAAAGCATTAATGCCATCAGTGTCAAACATTGGAACTTAACACAGAGGACATGCGAGGTCAGCGCAGGATAGACAGGAATGATGGAGTTTGTGCATGCTCTAACAGCACAGGAAGGACTCAGAATGTTAAACATTAATAAGGAAGGCTCTTATGCAAATGTACCACTCCCCTCCTGCAACGACAAACTTCTAATCTGCCCTTATAAATCCTGCGTGCACTGACCTAGCGGGCCATCAGAACTGCAAGCAAGCAAGAAAGAAAGAAAGGCAGGCAGGCAGGCAGGCTTCCTGTCTCAGTTTCCTTGTAAACACTAACAATGGGCACCTCAGAGGTTCCCATCAGGGAGAGTGCGTATATGACTAGCAACCTGCATTCCACCCAACAGGCGGAAATGACTTGAGTAAGCAGTGGGACAGTCAGGCTGAAGGAAACTGAGGCAGGAGGCCACTTTTCATTTCCAGCCTCAAAGTAAACACAATATTAAGTACATACACAAAGAGCTTTTCAGTCTAGGCCAGCAGCTTGCAGGTTTTGTTTGGCTAATAGGATTTTTTTTTAAAGCCTGTCTGTTTCTTTGTGTAGTAAATTGCTTGTATATTTCTGGTCTGAGCCAGGTGTAGTTTTTAAAGTCTATTTTAGGACTGTTGATTAATCACAGTTAACTTATGCGATTAACTCAAAAAATTAATTGCAATTAATCACACTGTTAAACAACAGAATACCAATTGAAATTTATTAAATATTTTGGATGTTTTTCTACATTTTCAGATATATTGATTTCAATTACAACACAGAATACAAAGTGTACAGTGCTCACTTTATATTATTATTTTTGATTATAAATATTTGCACTGTAAAAATTAACAAAAGAAATAGTATTTTTCAATTCACCTCATACAAGTACTGTAGGGCAATCTCTTTATCATGAAAGTTTAACTTACAAATGTAGATTTTTTTTGTTACATAACTGCACTCAAAAAAACAATGTATAACTTTAGAGCCTACAAGTGCACTCAGTCCTCCTTCTTGTTCAGCCAATCACTAAGACAAACAAGTTTGTTTACATTGACGGGAGTTTGTTTACATTGATGCCTGCTTTTTATTTACAATGTCACCTGAAAGTGAGAACAGGCGTTCACATGGCACTTTTTGTAGCTGGCGTTCCAAGGTATTTATATGCCACCCATGAAGAGGCTTATGAATGTTTAGCATGCTTCGGCCACCATTCCAGAGGACAGGCTTCCATGCTGATGATGCGCGTAAAAAAAATAATGTGTTATTTAAATTTGTGACTGAACTCCTTGGGGGAAGAACTGTATGTCTCCTGCTCTGTTTTACCTGCATTCTGCCATATATTTCATGTTATAGCGGTCTCAAATGATGACCCGGCACATGTTCATTTTAAGAACACTGTTACCAGATTTGCCAGTTGCTTTGGGGTATGCTCTCTCTCTCTCTCTAACAGAGCACGTCTGAGAGGACCGGGTTAATCAGCACTCCCAAGCTGACCCCTTATATGTCCCTGGACTCAGCAGGCTGGGTCGAACAGTACCTCCAAGCTGTCACCCTCATGTGCCATGGGCACCGCACTGGAATAGAGTGCGCTTGAGCAGGCCGGGTCAAGCAGCACTTTCAATCTACCACCCTTATTTACCCCTGGACTCAGCAGACTGAGTTAAGCAGCACTTCTAAGCTGCCACCCTCATATGCCCCAGGTTCAGCGCATCCCTATCCCCACTTTCACGTTAGACTTGTTCTGGTAGTGACCCACTTGATGAGCAAACCCCACAGGATTTGGGGGCACTGCAGGGATCTTTAGGTTAGGTACGAGGAGCATTGCTGCAGAGCGAATGAAGAAGCCAAAAAACACCCAAGAGGGGGAGGGAGAGAGAGAGAAGCAACCACCTTCCACCA